GGGGTGCAGAGGATGGACCAAGACCTGCCCCTGTGTCTTCCACAGCCTCGTAGCCCACAGTTCCTTTTAAAGTGCACAAATTTGTGCACTGGGCTCCTAATTTGTTGATAATTGCTTATCTGCTCTATGTTCTTCTTTGGAAATGTTCTATTTACATATACCAAATATTTGCATATGTAAATTTACATATAAATATGTATATATAATTATATATACACATGTTAATATATACAGATTATATACAGATAATAAAACTATATAGCAATACTACATACACTGAGTGGCATAATAATCTGGCCACTTCGTGTATATCCTATATAATAAAAGGCTAATTTGCAAATTGTCCTCTCGACCAGGAGTTCAACCAGCAGGCAGGCTGGCCAACCGCCCATGTCCCCTTCCTCCCCCCCCTCCCCGGCCAGGTTGGCCGGACCCTACCCATGCACAAATTCAATTCATGCACCGGGCCTTTAATACACACACACACACACACACACACACACACACACACAGACACACATACACACATACACACACACACACAGAGTAGCCAGATTATTGTGCGTTCAGAGATCATAATAATCTGGCCACTCAGTGTACATACTATGTTTATACTATATAAAAATGTATATAACTATATATGTATACCTGTATACTATATATAATTAGGGAAACATATACAATTATGAATGTGCATAGTATTCTCAATCTAGCCTCTAATCTTTAATTCTTTCAGTTATCATTTTCACATCTTTAGTATTTGCCATCAATTTCTTGGAAAATATATCTATTTAAATTATTAGTCTAATAGCTGTAACTTGCCTCCACTGCAACATAAATTTGGAAATCCTATTAATCTCTTAGCCATCTTTCCTGATGTTGTATTCTTCCTCTTTCCAACTACTAATTTTATTTTCATGTATACACTATCAGTTAGGACAGGTTAGGTTACACTGTAGTTAATAAACACATCCCAAATCTCCTTAAACTAAGATAACCAAATTTATTTCTCATTCTAAAGCAGGTGAGAAGGGAGGTCTGTCTACCTAGGACCATTTCACAATTTCCAAGTCAGAAAAAGGGGAAAGCACTGATTCTTACAAAAGTGACATTCGTCATGTTCACACACATTCAATGACCAAAATAAGATGCAGGAAGGTCTTCAACTTTGAAAATGGCATCCAAGTGCAATCCTATTGTGTTTCTCGAAAGTAAAAGGCTAAACATATTGGGTCAAGAGCATTAATACTTCTACACCACATAGTGTTCTTGCAACTCATCTTGCTATAATGAATAGTAGATGTTCTAAGTGATTCTTATGTTTTTAATATAAATCCCACTGCTTCGGTTAGGCCCTTTACTTAGATACATCTGATTTGTCATTCTTATCTGGACTGCCAAATTAAAACCATGTACTTCAGAACTTTCTATGTGGTTATTCTACAGAGAAAGATCCATATCCATTATTGAGAGTTGAAATGGGTCTGTTAGAAATTTCTCAAGTTTCAAGTCTCATAAGATAAAAGATTTTCCCCTTAATGAGTGGCCTCAGGACCTCTCTTCTCTTCCAATCTTATCTGACCTATACAGAATAACAGTTTTTTGCATTTGGGATGAGCAATTTTCCCCCTCATTAATAGATTATTTGGGTCATTTTATTGGGAATTAGCCAAGCAAAGAGAAATTAAATGAGTGTCCTCAAACCATACTTGAACTATAAATTTCCTAAATTGCTGATTTGGAATGTCAGGTCAACCATTAACCCAGCTAACCAAGACATAATCAGGGAGTCAGGTGTCCTTTTCCTCATACCCAATTGGTCACCAAATCTTGCCAATTTTGTCTCCTAAATATCTTGGAAAAGAACATAGCACTTGAGAGAAGAATTTATATCAAACTCAACTGATAACAATTTTGCATCTCCAGGGGAAATGCTATGTATTACACTAATTAGGCAAAATCTTAATAGCTAGCCATTTAATAAGGCTGCATTCAGGGGGAAAACCAATAAGTGTTCTTACTTCTTTCAGCAAACTACGTCCTAAATGTTCTTGATTATTTAAGAGGTTAGACAGGAAGCACTTAAGAAATAGTTGAATTTGACTGAATCAAAAGAACTAAGTTAAAACATTTTTGGGCAGTGCCACCAAGTTAAATAGAAGAATATGGCCAGGCTGCTGTGGTCACACTTGCAATCAATACATACAGAACAGTACTGACTGGCTGCAACTTAATGAGGAAGGCAGAATGAAAAAAGCTAGAGAGAGGTTCTGAAAAAGAAATCATAAATATTCCTACATCGCCAATATATAGCAAAAACTTTCCATTGGTTTCTAGCACTATGGTAACTAAGGAAAAGTTACAAGTAATATATTTAACAAGGACATGTTTTGTAATATACTTATAATGGGTTTCCATTGGTAGACCTTGAATTTCTGATACTGATTTAATATGTAGCAAAAGGCCTTATTCATGAAAGTATCTATTATGATTAAGATGAATTAGCCTGCGGAAACTTGTGCATTCCTATATTTAGATTTTTTTTGTATGACTAAAAGCATAGTGCTTTCTTCATGAAGAACAAAAAGGTTCCCCTCATGCAGTACCTAACCTTGTCATACAAAGTAAGTTGTCTTTTACAACTTATTTTTCCATTGAAGGATCTTGCAAATTAGCAACAGCTTATTTTATAAATATAACAATAGTCAACAGAATCCTGATATCTCTTTGTAGGTATCAGCTTTAGGAATGTTAAATATTAATGTAGAGTAAGGGCATTTAAAATAAACACTCAGAGTACATTCTTTCCTTTTCAACAAACTTTGAATTTCTTATTTAAAACAAAAACAAGAAATCCAAGTAGAAAGCCATTAAAATACAGTTATCATAGGAATCTCAAATTATAAATCCAAAGTAATCTATAAAACTTGCTTTAAAAATTGGTTCTTTGGGGACAGGTAGAAATAGCCTATATAAAAATGAGGTGATATGCAAATTGACTGTCACTCCAACACACAAGATGACCACCCCCATGTGCACACAAGATGACCATCACAAGATAGCCAGCAGGGGAGGGCAAGTTGCAGGGGACCAGGCCAGCAGGGGACAGCAGTTGGAGGAGACCAGGCCAGCAGGAAAGGAAGTTGGGATGGACCAGGCCTGCAAGGGAGAACAGTTGGGGTGACCAGGCCTGCAGGGGAGGGCAGTTGGGAGGGACCAGACCTGCAGGGGAGGGCAGCTGTGGGGGACCAGGCCAGCAGGGGAGGGCAGTTGCGAGGGACCAGGCTTGCAGGGGAGGGCAGCTGTGGGGGACCAGGCCAGCAGGGGAGGGCAGTTGGGAGGGACCAGGCTTGCAGGGGAGGGCAGCTGTGGGGGACCAGGCCAGCAGGGGAAGGCAGTTGGGGGTGACCAGGTCTGCAGGGGAGGACAGTTGAGGGTGATTAGGCAAGCAGGGGAGGGCAGTTAAGGACAATAGGGTCATCAGGGGAGCAGTGAAGCATCAATGAGGCTGGTATGGGAGTGGTTGGGGGTGATCAGGCTGGCAGGCAGAAGCAGTTCGGGGCAATCAGGAAGGTAGGCAGGTGAGTGGTTGTGAGCCAGCAGTCCTGGATTGTGAGAGGGATGTCTGACTGCCCGTTTAGACCTGATCCCAGTGGGACAGTTGGACATCCTTTGAGAGGTCCCAGATTGGAGAGGGTGCAATCTGGGCTGAGAGACTCACACATCCCCATGCACGAATTTCATGTACCAGGCATCTAGTGTTGTTGTAAAAGGACAACACAAGGAATGCTTCTGATGATGTAAACAGTCTGTAATTTCTGTGGTGATGGCTACAAAAGCAATACAAGTGATAAAAATGCATCAAACTAAACACACATACACACACACACACACACACACACACAGGCACAAGTAAAACTAGGAAATCACAATTAGACCAGTGGATTATATCAATGTCAATATCCTGATGTTGATATGACAGGGTAGTTCTACAAGGTATAGGGAAACCTTTCTGTGTTATTTCTTATATCGATAACTGCATATAAATCTACGATGATCTCAAAATAAAAAGTAAAAAATATTTCCTCTACCGGTACTTGTTTTTGAAAGTTCATATTTTAAAATCATACAAATGTGATCCAATTTCCTGTTGTCTTCCCTTGTAAGAGTAATCTTCATAATTACAAACTTATCTCTAGACATTGTACATTGAGCCAATAGTATAAATGTCACCTAATGAAGCTTTTAAATGATGCAATAGAGTGATATTCACGTGAGAGTATGGCAAAAGATATATCCATATTTCTAATAGAAAAAAAAATAAAGTATTTTAAACAACTGTCAGTTTCTTAAAAACATCTTCTTTTAATCTCAATCCCACTGAAGGATGCATTGATTTTTATATTCACAACAAAAATTGTTGCTCTGCCTTTTAATTGTTTCACTAGTATTCTAATAACCTTCCTAATCATTTTTCTGAATATAGAAGCATTAAAGGTCTAAAGATATGCATAGTTGACAGTGCTAATTATTGGGCCATTTGAGAATTTGAAAGGCCTTAAATATATTTGTATTTTATAATCTTCTCCATACCAAACATAATCCAATGTAACCACATGGCACATTCAGCGCAATTAATAAAAAAAAAACAACCATAAATATTGAGATGCAGTTGACTAATTGACATATGTTTTATTTTGGAGATAATTAATTAGACAGTTATTGATTTCAATTGTGCAGTTTTCTCTTTGTATTTTATGAGCAATAGTTTTTGAAGGGGAGGGATCTTTATAATATTTAGAGAATCATGAAAACTCGTATGTCCTACATAATGTATACACAAGCTAGAATGAAAACAATAGTCCTGATTTTAACAGGGCTAAGCAGAATAAATCAATTTATGGATGTGGAATGAGGTAGTATGATGGGGATTTAGTAGAATTAACTGCGTTCTCAAAGCCACAGTGCTGATCTTTTAAGTTACAGTTGCAAAAACTAACCTGAGCATGTGGGCAGCATTGAAGACCACATCAAACTCTGTGCTGTCCAGTTCTGCTGCTTTTTTTGCCATTTCGGCTGCTTCTAACAGACGAGCTTCTTCCAGAAGAAATTGACCTGTAAAGTATGAAAGCAGGGGAGCTTTAACTTAAATACAGCAATCCTTTGAAATAAATAAAGCTGCTATAGAGAAAAGTATAAAAGCAGAGATTAAAGTGATATAAAGCTAAGAATTACATGTGCCATATACATAAATGCTCATCTGTACTCTTATTTAACAGGCCTTCCTTTTTTTTTAATTGATTTTTTACAGAGAGGAAGGGAGATAGATAGAGAGCTAGTAACATCGATGAGAGAGAAACATTGACCAGCTGCCTCCTAAACACCCCCTACCGGGGATGTGCCCGCAACCAATGTACATGCCCTTGACCGGAATCAAACCTGGGACCTTTCAGTCCGCAGACCTACGCTCTACCACTGAGCCAAACTGGCTTCAGCTACAGGCCTTTCTTTTAATTTCAGGACACTGAAATGCATTTATCTTGAACATTAACAATTTTTTTTCTTAAAATAAAATCCTGTATAGACCGTTGAAGCAAGAAATAAAATGAATAAAATAGATATTATAAATAATAACTTAAAAGATATACCATGTTATGTAAAAGTGTAAAAAGAACAATTTTTAAAGTCTTATGGGAAGAATATTATTTTCGTTCCAGTCTTACTAAGAAATAAATAACACACATCACCGTGTAAGTTTTAAGGCACACAGCTTGATGGTTTCATTGACATCGTCGTGAAATGATTACCAAGCTTTAAGGCATTGTATTTGAGATTTAAGGCATTGTGTCAGTCCTATTGCTGAATCTGCAGCTCAAGTGCAATATATTTCACTAAGTCACCAATCAACTGGTTTAAACCTTCACCTATAAATTCATTATATGTGATGCATAAGTAGTATAACATTTAATTATTAGCTATAAATCTCTGAGCTTCTGGGATGATAGTTCCTTTGTAGGAAAAAAAAAAGATATTTACCAATTGGAATTTAGTTGATCTTAATTATTTGTCCTTTAAAATAGCTTCTGTCTCTGATGCATATACACTAACAGGGCTATGCATATTGAGATATATTTAAGTAACAGAAAAATTGTTAAGAGAATATAGAAAGGTCCGGTTAGCTCTTAATTAGATTGACTGACAAAAGTGGAAGCAATATTAACTGATTCAGATTTTTGAGATTTCTTTCAGGCCAGCCCTACAAGGTTAAAATTATTGCAGATAGAACTACACAAGTCTTTAAAGGCCACCTCAAAAATTGTTATATAATGTTATCCCAGAATCATATAGTAAAAGCAAAGAAAAAAATGTAAGAGCTGAGCTCAATTTTAAGAGTGTAAATATTCAAGTAGAGAGAATAGATGCTTCTTAGAGCTAGGGCTTTATTAACAGTAAAGTAATGATGTTAAGCCTCATTTGATACCGCTTTTAAAATGAAAACCAAATAAAGGGATGACAGAGATATGCAGAAACCATCTGACAGATTCCAAAACTGTGACCTAATGATTATCTCTTTTTGCTTGGGGTTTCCTGGTAGCAATACAAAAAATAGCTTCCCAAGTCCTAAAAAAAAAAAAAAAAAAAAAAAAAAAAAAAAGATTCTCAAGTCCTAAATTACACACAGAAAACAGAAAAAAATAAAAGTGGTAAATCCTCCCAGGTGGCTGTTGGAAGAGGCATTAACTACTTTCATCTAATAAATATTACAAATCGTCTTCTAACCCACAGAGATCAGTCCTTAATATACCAGGGGAAGTTTCCTGCTTTCAGATTTGCAATAAACCACAGCCACTGCCTATCCATAAGCGTTTCCAATAGTCAATTGCTAAAGAATGGTAAGTAAAGATAAGCCTAGAATTTTAAGCCTGCATTTTTAAATAAAGTGACAGTTTTAAAATCAGCACTTGGAGATGTGTCAGCTACTTCTACAAAAAACTTTATATCACTTTCTTAGTTAGTTGCTTAACATTCTGTGTCGTTCTCATTTCCCAAAGTAAACATAATTGTTGGGTTAGATAATGATTAAGGAAACAGGGTTGTAAATAGTTTCATTTATAAATAGAAAAACACATTACTCATAAAATCCATGTATGTGCTAACTCTACAAATATGTTGATGTGGCATTCAATTTAAAGTGTACAAGCTTTACAAAAAGTAAATCAAGAATTAGACAATGTGTAGCATACAGAATATTTACCGTCTCCTCATATATATGAATAAAGTTTACCAGGCTAAATAAACCCATTCTTCAGTTAGTTATGTTTTTATAGATTATTTGAATTAAAATGTAATGTTAAGTACTACGTGTCTTCAGAACATGTTTACCTAAAAAAATATTAATAAATATATTTATTAGTTATGTGACAATTAAACAAAGAATAATGTCAGAATTTATTAATTGTTCTTTTTCCTTTTCAGACAGTTATTAACTCTGAAATGTATTTTGTTATTAATGGTTAGAAAGATGTAACGATTAACTGAAAAAAGGAAGTTATTTTCTTAAAATTCATCACTACAGACAGTAGAGGGAAGGCATATTAGCCCAGATGATAAAGAGAAAAAGGGACATGATTTCCATACTGTCCACATAGAGAGGGTCAATAACAAGAGGTCGGTGTGCTATAATAATGATATTTTAAAGATATTTTTTAGAAATAGAGGAAGGGAGAGAGGGAGACAAATATCTAAGCATCTAAAAAACTGGCTATCTCCTGCACAACCCAGGCATGTGCTCTGACTAGAATCCAACCTGCAACCTTTCAGTGCATAAATGCCATCCAAACCACACTGAGTGACACCAGCAGGGACCAGGGCAAAGCTTTTCCAAGCTATGTTAATGTTAAACACATCTTTAATGTTTCAAAATAACCAACAAAAGAGAAACATTAACTACTTGTGTGAAATCAAATACACAATTTTACCATAATTTTTACTCATGCTTTAAGTTAACTTTGCCATTGAACATGCTTTCTGTAAACAGTTTGCAAATTTCCAAAACAACATGAAACACACCTTTTTATTGTAAATGGTGATAGAAATAATTCTCATATACTAATTTTATAGCAATAGAATGCATTCATCATATTAACATTCAGAAAAACAATATCACAACATATCAGTTAGGTATTTGCATAATTCCCTCGATTCTGCTCTTGACAGGCTATAAATCTCAATAGTCCAGCATTGATATTATTATGATAAAAGCATAAAATACTATGAATTGTAGATCATTTGGTATCTATTTTGTAACTGAGTTTGAAGACATGAACTGAAGTAGAAAGTCAATTCTTATTCTACTATGTTTACAATGACTGTTTGTGTGTTGTTGTTTTTTTAAATATAGGCCAGAACTGATGACAAACAGAGCAATAAGCATTTCAAATACATAGAAGGAACATAAGTCAGAAAACAAATATACACCAAGTTCCTTCTTAATAATTATCCAAAAAACCTAAATTGTATGTTATTGAGGGAATAATAGGAAACACAATTTACCCAACTCCTTCCAGAAGACTTTATCTCAAATCACTCTTCCTCAACCAACTTCATTTATTACTAGAGGCATGAAATTTGTGCAAGAGCAGGCCTTCCTCCCCACTGGCTGCTGGCAGCGGCTTCCCTCTGGCACCCAGAGCCCAGGCTTTCCTTGCAGCCCGGGTTTAGTCCGAAAGGACATCAGGTCTAATTAGCATACCACCCTTTTTTTATTATAGACTGCTCCCACCAGAAATAGGCTGTGAATTACTTAAGCTTTGCTGAGTGTAACCTGCAGCTTTACAGCATTATTTATCCTGAAATCTCAGCCTCTAAGATTTCTCTCCACCCACATCTCTATTCCTGTTTGCCTATCTATTGTAAGTGGGCATCTTTCATGTTTATGCCCAAAACATGTCCTTCTTGGTGAATGCTTCTTTGATCACTTTTCAATAGTGTTAGAATAACTTATGATCTGCATTTACCATCTAAACCAAAGCACTTAAAAGAGGAGTGGTATTATTATGCTGGAACAAGAAACAAAAACCAGATTGTCTTAATTCTGCCACCCCACTTATAGTACCTGTGGCAGAATGGGGATCTCAATTCTCTCATCTTTTATCGCTCTTGGAAAGTTAACCATTTTACACAATAAGGCATTGTATCCCCAAAATAAAAAGTGATTGATATTAATAACAGAGAAATAGGTGTTCCTCACTGAAGAATACAAAGATCTATTGTTGTGTCCACCAAGACTGAGCTAGGGCTCCCAGCGTGAGTGTGACTACAAATGGAGTTAGGACTCTATGAAGAGTGAAGAAGGTTAGAAAGGAAACCAAGAAAACTTGAAGGCAGGCACTTAGGGGAGTCTATCCACATGGGTGGATTCTGCAAGGTCACCTTTCCCTGTGGTTCTCACGCTTTAGTGCCCATCACAGTCACTTCGGAGACTGGCTGGAACACGGAGCTGGGTTTGGGAGAAAGCCTATCATTTGAATTTTTAATAAGTTCCCAGCTGATATTACTAGTCCAGTACTCATAATCTTAAAATCAAGTCTCTTATGAAAAGAACAAAATAAATGCTTTGCACCAGACTCTGGATCCATGCCTGAGGTTAGCTGTCAGTTAGACTGAGCGTGTCTGTTGATTCACTGCATGTGCCATGACTTTCCTTATATTACAGGCATAATGACCAGGCTGCACACATGTATATATGTATGAATAAGATATACTCATCCTATATAATAAAACCCTAATATGCAAATCGACCAAAGGGTGAAAGGACCAGCCCCTATGATGTGCACTGACCACCAGGGGGCAGATGCTCAATGCAGAAGCTGTCCCCTGTTGGCCAGTGCACCCCCACAGGGGGAACATCGCTCAGCCAGAAAACAGGCTCATGAGGCTGGTGGCTGGCCAGTGGAGCGGCATTGGCAGGAGCCTCTTCTGTCTCTGCCACAGTGCTAAGGACCCCTCAGGGGATATCCACCGTGGGGTCCCAGACTGTGAGAGGGAAAAGGCCCGGCTGAGAGAGAGACTTCCCCCTCAATGCATGAATGTTGTGCACTGGGCCTCTAGTTAAC